AAACTCATAATAGAGGATAACTTGGTGATAGAGATGTAACCTTGAGGGAAGGGTAAATCTCAACTTTTTCTCAATTTTTTAAAGCCTTAAAAAACTTTTAATTTTACTTTTTATTTACTTAAAAAAATTTAATTTTAAATTGGAGTATAGCCAATCAACAATATTGTAATCATTTCAAGTGGACAACAAAGGGACTCAGTCATACATATATATGTACCCATTCCCCCCCAGACTTCCCTCCATCCAGGCTGCCACAGAACCCCAAGCAGCATGCCCTGTGCTATGCAGTAGGACCTTGTTGCTTATCCATTTTAAATATAGCAGTGTGTGCCTGTCGATCCCAGACTCCTGAACTATCCCTTCCCCCCAGCATCTCCCCGGTAACCGTAAGTTTCTTCTCTAAGTCTGTGAGTCTGTTTCTGTTTTGTAAATAAGTACCTTTGTATCATTGTTCTTTTTTAGATTCCACGTGTAAGTGACATTACATGATATTTGTTGATTTTTTCTTTTGTATAATTCTGGACTGTGTGTTTTGAAAGTTAGATTTTTTTTTTCCCTAAGTGAAGACAATGCAGAAAGGATATGAGTCACAGCATATGTTATTACAGAAAACTTTACAGGTTGGTTGGAGAGTAAACTGGCTGGATGCTGACTACTGAGTTACTCATAGAGGAATGAAGGACTAGGATACAAAGGCTATAGCAGCTTAGAAGAAATGACTTTTGAGTAGTGTAGGCATTCTGTCACTCTCACTGGGTCTTCTGTTTTTCCTCATCATACATGTTACTCAACTTGCTTCTACATTTTCACTTGTGTGCAAAAAGTTAATGCATTGCATTTCATGGCCTCTGGATGTAAGAACTTCTGCCTCTGTTAGTTGCTTTCATTGCATACTTTAGGCTTCACTTCTGCCCAAACAAGCTAAATAAAGTTATAAATATCACTTTGTGGAATGATATCACTTCAGTCTAGTAATGAGGGTAGTCTCTTCATGCTTATGATCAGATTAATTCTTCAATTAATTAAACATGGAAAATAATTATATTTCCTATGCAATATATTTTTCTATTTAGACAAGTATTTTTCCAATTACAATATATAAGAGGAAAAAAAAATAGAAGGGGTAAAAAGTAGTATAAAGTCCTGAGCAGTGTGTACCCAAGTCTTGTGAAGTCAGATTTTCCTTAAGTCTTATGAAAAGATGGCCCAAGTGATCAGGCCATAATCAAGTTCATACAAGCATTGTACATGATCAACCCTGAGGGTTTTAATGTGCAAATGGTGGACCTTCCCTCCTAAAAGCTTCAGTGCACCCAGACATCTCTCTGGAACCCTTTGGCTTCCTCTCCTTCTGAGAAAGAAACTGGAGGAACTGTTGGCAGAAGCACCAGCCTGGTCTTTGAAGAAGCAGATACACTACCAGCTCCTGAAAGGTCCTGGCAGTCTCTGCGGGAAAAAGTGCTTTTTTATTTATTTTTGAAAATGCCATGAAATGAGGAGCAGTTAAATAATTTGCTACTCAAACCTTTGCAGGAAGGAATTAGGGAGGTAGTTTCTAGTCTCTTAGGGAACAAGATGGGAAGGGAGGTGGGGAAGAACATCATCCAAACCAAGGCACTGGCCACATGCACTGGAGCAGCTACAGCATCTTGTCATTGGCAGATCGCAAAGTGTCACCACTTCAAGGCCTGCTTTTTTTAAAAAAAAACCTAGAAAATGAATCATCCTGTAGATGGAAAACAGATGCTGTGCTGCACCTGTTAAAGGATACCTTCCTATCTACCCTCAGCCCTGCAAAGAGCGGTAAAGTCACTTTTGAAAATGTTTTCTGCTTTGGGACTACTGGGAAATGACATATCCTCTGTAAATGAGAGCTCCGGGTAAGTCACCCAAGGTAGCAAGGAGAAAATGTGGAATGAAGTTCTGGCACTTGTCCAAAGCATCAGAGCCTCTGAAATAGCTCTTGTTTTGCTCTGTAAGCCATGAAAACTGGTGAGGTGGGACCAAAAGATGCAAGCACTCTTGGAATCCAAGGAAGAAACACCTCGAAACAGACTAGCTCTCTGAGCTCCATTTTACTGTTTTCAGGGAAGATGCAGGCAGAGTCTAGAGAGTCTCACTCAAAACTGTTTTCTGGGTTTTGAGCTGAAATGGATGCCTTTAATCTCCAAGTTGTGATGCCTGTTGGCCTGGTGCTTGGCCAGCCCTGGGGCCTGAAGGAGGTGTATAAAGAGATGCTCTTTAAAAGATTTCTGTATATCAGCGAACATTTTTTGAGAACAAAAAACAAAACAAAAGACCACATGTTGATGAGTTGAATGTAAATAAGAAGCAACAGAAAGATTCAGATTTTCTTTCAAAAACTGGCTTAAGCATGAAGGGGGAAAATATCCAGTTGTCAAAATAGGCTTGAGGTTTTGCTGAACCCAGAAGTTCTGGAGAGCAATATGTTTTTGCCAAACTCTAAATATTGCAGGGTTAAACCTTCCCTCTAACCAATTAGATAATTGCCACTTCATTTTGTGGATTTCTTAATTGTTTCTCCTTCTTTTTTAAACAAAATAATTAGCCTTGTCTCAGTGTAGTTTTGTTAGTATTTTCATAATTAAATAATTACTTCAACCCTGAATTAAAAACCGTCCTGCTGTCTCTAGGTACAGTAAACTGGCAGCTGTTTTAAATAACCCTTGAGAGTGGTCAGGTTAAGGACTCAATTTATGACCTTATAAATTAACACAAGGAAACCTACTCCATAATGCAACAGACAATTCTATTTATAATGCTTAATTAAGCCTCTCCAGTCACTAACAAAACCCATTTGTGACCTTTCATTTCAACCTCACCCAAATGCAAGTCTCCTGAGATGATACGTGTTAATATATGAATGTTGATTGAATTTGCTGTCATTATGGTTGGGTATTAAATAGCTGACAGTCTGGACAAATTAGCTCCTGATAACTCACTAATCAAACGTTAAGAAGAAAATGTCAAGTTGGGCAGCACTGATGAAACACTTTATCAAAGCCTTGAGCTGGAAGGAGGTAGAAAGAAAGGAAAATGTCATGTCTAACATTGCCTGCAAACACTTGCTCTGAATTTCAGAAAATCTTGGCAACCAAGAGAAAGTATCAGAACTGAATTGAAGGATGGCTGTGGGCAGCCATTCTTGGTGGTTTCATTTATCTGCTGTTTTCTCAGGCTTCCCTCTTTTATCTTGATACAGAAAACCCAAAGTGATAAACAATTCAATGCTGTTTTACCTAAGATATAAAAAATAGTGGAGATATCTGGGAAATTCCAAGTAACTCAGAAAGCTACAAATTGTGGGTAATTTGGAGACATAGAAAGTTCTCCTGGGAACAGGCCCTAGAAGGAGAAAGGAAGCATACACCACTTGGACATTTTTGTGGTCCATGGGAATGGCAGTGACCTGAACACAGAAATTCTGCCTCGTGGCCTGGCATTTGGAATATGTGTGGAGAGTCTTATCAAGTTTTAGGACTGTTCAGGGAATTCCCATACATCTTCCTGAATCAGGAAAATAGATTTCTTTCTTTTTTGTCCACCACATTCAAGAGTCAACATAATAGGATATTTCTGGCTCTACTGTGAGTCTTTATTTAGGTGAGTTCTTCATTTCATTGCTTCAGTATTCTCATCTGCAAATGGTACCCATAACAGTACCTGCCTTATAAGGTTATTGGGAGGAATAGAATTAATACATATAAAGGCTTTACACAGTGCCTGGAGCATGGTAAGCACTATGTAAGCCTTGGCTGTTATCCTCATAGCACCTCCATAAAATCTTTCTCCTGTGGGCTCTCTCCTTTCCCAGGGCAGCTATAGCAGTCAGGTCAGGCTGTCATGGCCTCTCTCCTGAATATAATAGCTTCCTAACTCATTTCCTTATTCCAAATCCACATCTCTCGTAATACACAGTGTGTGCATGCGTGCTAAGTCGCTTCAGTCGTGTCTGACTCTTTGTGACCCTGTAGACTGTAGCCTGCCAGGCTCCTCTGTTCATGGGATTCTCCAGGCAAGAATACTGGAGTGGGTTGCCATGCCCTCCCCAGGGAATCATCCTGACCCAAGGATTGAACCCATGTATTTTATGTCTCCAACATTGGCAGGTGGGTTCTTCACCGCTAGTGCCACCTGGGAAGCTACATCACACACAGTGTTGGAACTTAAATTTTTGAAGTCTGCTTCTGATTTTGTCCCTGTCTTATTCAGTGATCTGCAGAGTTCATCAGGTAAAGTCTAAATTCCTTAATCTTGATTTCAAGCCTCATTCTATCCCTCCCTTCTAACCCTAGTTCCACTTTCCAATTGTGTATTTCACTGCTTCTTCTCATGAACTCTGTCCTGGAGCCACTGCCCTGCAAACTCCCTTGCTCTCCTCGATTTGTTCTGGAATGTTCTTGCTTTTGTATGTGTGCTCGCTGTTCCCTTCACTTGGAGTTCACTTTCCTTCCAATATCTTCTGGTTCAAACCTGAGCCATCCTTAAAAGCCAGGCCCAGTTGCCACTGCTTCACTGGGGCCTTTCCAATTCTATCATTTAACCATCCCTCCTTCTTCTCTGACCTCCAATATTGTCGTCGTTTTAATTATCAACCCTAGTTACCTGCTATTACAGCTACTGATTCATATGCCCCCTATTTAGTATGTGCCATATCTTTAGCCTCTGAGCCCTGTAGATCAAGGCGGCTTCTTTAGCATGTCCTACTCAGAACTGTCCGCAGTGAATGCTATACACAGAGGAAGTGCTTGCTCTGCAAGCAAGAGTGAAATAGTAATACTAATATTAGTCTGTAACACTCTCCATCACCTTGTCACTCTCTGTGTGAATGCCTATGGAAATAGTTCAACTTGAAAAAGTAAATGGGATGAAAAAAAATCTTTTCAGCAGAAAAAACAAACATGCAAAATGTGCAATTGATCCTCAAACAACAGTTTGTATTTTAAGGAGAAGCAGCGACAAAAATATTTGGCCAGTACCTTTATATCTGGTTACTACAGCTGCGTTGACGCTAAGAGGCTCTTGAAAGCTGACAGTGAGTGACGTGCTGCTGGTTACCACGAGGCAAGCACTGGCTGGCTCTTCGGGGGCTCCTGGGACAGAAGGAGAAACACAAGGACCTTAACACGGCAAATCCTTTTCAAACAATGTTCCTGTCTCTTCAAAGGGTATCCTGAAACACACACGATGGAGACATTTGTTTGTAGAGCCTAATAGCTTTTGCCTTTGAGCATTTTCATTAGAAGTCTCAATGGCTTTTATTTGTTGCCTTCGTGGTCTTATTTGAGCATTAGAACATCTTCTGAAGGGGCAAATAATACCAGTTAAGCCTTTTCAAAGTATCTTAGAAACACAATAGAAGATTGGGCTGCACCAGTGAGAGGAGGTCAGAAAGTGTTAGCAGGAATCAATATTTTAGGGAGAGACTACTTTCAGAAAGTAATTTCATGTAGATCATTTCACTGGAGACTTTTTGCAACCCTGTTGGGTAGAAAGAATGAGTAACTGCATCCGCACTTTTAGGATGAGGAAACTTCAACCCAAAGAGGCCAAATTATGGTTCAAGAACACAGTAAAGACATAGCTAGGATGAAAGTCTGTGGCTTCAGATGCCCAATTCCGGGCTCTTCCCAGTATGGAATGCTAACTTGACTTGCTCTCACACTGCCTCCGATTACATCAGGTACTATTTTTCTAAGAAAGACTTCATGGGCAAATGTCATGTCCACTAACCCCAGGTTTTAAAGGACTTCTATCACTCAGGGTACTTTTTGACACTCAGAAGATGTTTTTTAATTTAGAAAAAAAATTTAAAATGGCATCAAATTAATGATTTGATGATTCTAGTATTAATTCTAGTATTAATCTGTCCTAAATGAGGTACAATGGTAAATGCATTTATTGAAATAATTGCTGAAAATAATTTCAACAATTATTGAAATGCTTTTTTTTTAAAGCATGTATTAGCATTACTAAAGGGATTGTTAATATTAAAAGCAACCTTTCATTAATGTTACTTAAGCTACTTGCTTCAAGAAAAAGGATTAGGCCTAGATTTGGTATTTAGAATATAATACTACAGAAAACAAGAATTTCTCTCGCTTTGGTGTTTATCACGAGGCAGAGGCAGATAGTTCCCAAACTAATGAACTGATCTTTCCCTTATACTAAACATTTCAAGTCTAATTTTTTTGTTGTTTAAATAAAATCACCTTTTGGAATAAGAGTTTAATGTTTCACAAGTGTTCGGATTGTACATGAATTTTTATATCAGAGGTGATACTAAGCAGTACCTTCCAATGCTAATGAGTATTATCCAGAAACAAAGCTTTTCTTAAATTAACAAAAAGAACTGGTAAAGAGAATGGAAGTGCAGACAAAAGCGTAATTCTTAGGTTGGTTATCCTTCTCTGTTGGCTGTATTAACTGAAGGTCAGTTTATATAAGCTGTATATAGTAGAGAGTTGAATACAGCTTAATCTTGAACTTGAAGCAGAAGCTGGACACATAGGCAAACAAGTATTTTTCCACCTCCACATCTCAAAATAAAGCCACTTAGGGAATCAGACCATCCAGGTCATTAGACATTAGGGCGTAGAGGGTGGAAAGTGCTAGATGAGTGTGACATGGTGGAGGGAAGCCAGCAGCACTAAAGCCTCATGGCTGTGGTCAAAGAACCTATCAGGAGCCAGAAAATCAAGTAAGACAAAAGACCCTTTGACAGCCTCCCAGAACCCTTGCTCCAAAGAGGCTGACAACGGCCATCCGTGATCCCTCGAGTGGCAAAAAATCAGTGAAAGAAGTCCTGCTGTCTCAAACCAGAGTTCAGTCTAGTTAAATGAACAAGTCCTCTGCTTATACTCACTGGCATGTTCAAAGCCTGTTTTCATGCGCTTGTAGAGTCGGTACCTCCACTCCCAAGCTTTCAGCTGCTTCTCTTTCTCTGTGTTGTCCAGACTGAATCCTTCATTCTCCACCTGAGCAGATAGTTCATTCACCCTTTCCTGGGCTTCCTGCACCAGTGTGTCGAGGTGCATAGATCGGCTTTCCAGGCTGACAACTGGAAGGAAAGAAATGGGGTGACTTACTTTTCTTTTTGGGGAGACGCTGCTTTGTTGACAGGGTATCTCAAAGTCTACTATGAGTTTTTAAAAATGCCTGGGGAAAGGGGAATCTATATTCCTTATTAGCTATCTTACTATGACAAGGTCTAATTGGTGACAAAACTAGATTAAATGATAAATATAGCAGTTTAAAAGATTCCCATTGCCCTCTGGCCCAAATAGCTGCCTAGCAGAGTTAATTAGAAGTCCACTGGTATGAGGCCTACTTCTATTTCATGTTGCATAGAGTTGTTTCCATGATCTTCAGAATCACAAACACTTAGGAGCAAAAGCTTTGTAGGATTAGGAAGGTCTTAGGAAAAGTCATCCATGAGGCAAGTTGCATTCTGCTGAAGATGTGTTTTCGGTTTTTGCTGGTTTTTTGTTTGTTTGTTTTTGTAGAACCTGATCAAATCTTCTGTTTTTATATTCTTTCCAGCTCATAGGTATTTTTCTTAGTGGTAATTTTGTTATTGTTAGTCAATTTATTTACTGCTAACAAAGTGAGAGTCGGTCAGTCATGTCTGACTCTTTGCGACACCATGGACTATACAGTCCATGGAATTCTCCAGGCCAGAATACTGGAGTGGGTAGCCTATCCCTTCACCAGGGGATCTTCCCAACCCAGGGATTGTTAACAAAGTGTTCCACTATTGCTGCCACAATAGAACTAGTGAGTCCTGATGGTTGGATGACTTGGGTGTGATCACATATTGATCTTTGATCAGTTTTACCCTTTAAGTGGTCTGATTGTGTGAATGATTTCTGGAGATGCCCATGCCCAAGATAGTGAGTTATACTACACCTCTTGCCAAGAGAGGTTGTCAGGCTTGGTATTTTTTTTTTTTTAACTGAGTGTGTGACAATTCCTATTCTTTATTTGATTCGCATCACATTATTCACCCAGCCTGCCCTGTGTGAGTGAACGTTCATGTCAGGGACAGAACATTTCAAATTCTTATGTCAGATTGGGAGTCTGCTCCTTGCTGTCCACTCATAGCACTCATGCATGTGAGGGCCTGCCTATGTGGTCACTTGGCCACTTCAGTGGAGCCCTTCCTGGTTATCGATAAAGAAGAAAAGAGAGCCCTAGCATGCATAGGGTAGAGGGTCACACAAATAATGAAACAGAGCAGAACCAAGTTCTGCAGATCTGTCACCAAAACGTGTTTGACACTCTCTGTGATCAAAACAATATTTCCCCCTGGTGGGTGGGAAAGATATCTAACCATTTTATTCTTCTAATTAAGAGGGAAAATATTATGAAGATGACGCAAAGTGAAAGATTTCAGGTGTACTTTGAAATGGAAATTACGTGGTTATATATTCATATTGTCTTGTGTTCATAGGCATGTTTGCATTAATTACAGGAAATGAAGACTAATTTATTATTGCCCCTGCTTACCATCAATCTAAATTTATTTACCGATGAAGTCAATGAAAAATTAGTTGAGTCTTTTTTGTTTTTTCTTTCTTTTGAAAGTTGCTGGTTAGAACACTCAGGACTGTGTTTCGCTGCAGATTTGTCATGGCTAATGCACGTTGCTGTAGCAGTCAATCATGTACTCTAAATACTGGAACACTTTTTTTTAAAGCCTCAGTCATGAGCCATGACAGAAAAATAAACAAACAAATATAGAGCTAAAAAACTCTTTCACTGAGAAGCTACACTATGCAGAACCCCTTGGGAAGGGTAAAGGAGGCCAGAATAAATGATAATATAAGTGCTGTGGGTGTAGGGGAGCAATGATGGTGTATGAACACAGAGGTCCTGGAGAAAAAAAAATACACGCACACGCAGGCGCATACTCCTGTGGAAAAATTGGCAATATTAGTAGCCTCAAGGTGCAATTTCCTGAAGCAGTGAGATTGACAAGTCAGTACTAAATGCTGTTAATTTAACTAACTTCAGATTAATGGTAGAGTCTGCTATGACTGAAGCCCTCAAACACAGTCTCATTATAGCCTTGCTGGGAAGGTCCTAAATATAGGCATTGACAGTTTAAAACAAATTCGTATACATTTGTGTATTTTTAGACATAGGTTAGGCGTCAGAGTTTGTGTCACAGTTTTCAGGTTGATTAATTGACCCAGTAACTGCACCCTTTACCCACTCCCCCACCTTCTTCCACTCCAAATTATGGACAAAATGGGGGAATTGTCCTTGCTAAGTCATTCAGTGAGCTTTTTATTGTGAGCCTGATGTTTGAATTGCATGCATGCGTCAACACTTGGGCGATAGACAGATGATTTATAAAAATAAATTTTTCTAATACTATGAAATCCCCCCTATTAATTTTTATATCCACAACAGTTATTACTGGTGTGAATTCCAGGTGGCATTTCAGATGGACAGCTTCTCTTGAGCTATGCTTGGCTCCCCCTGAAATTTTTCCTGCTTTTCCTAGCACAACACATTTTTTTTTCTAGCCTTTGCCTTTATTCCTAGACTGTAGACTTGATGCTATTTTAGTTGTAGGGGTAAAAGGACTCTGAGTCTTTAAAATAAAGCATTCACCTCTTCATAGAAAAACAAGAAAGATACATAGAATTTTATGGCCGAGTAAGTTTTCCAAGATGGTTTAGATACGTGTGCTTCTCAGACTGAGACACCTAACTTACGACATAGTATGGGGGTGGTATTGATGGAGTTCAGTGGGCATCTCTGAAGCCTCAGAATAAATATGTCTGTCTTTCAGGAACACTGAATTTTCCATGCAGATTTTGATGAAAGCAAATTATTTAGAAGTTAAAACTAGCCCTTCTATTATGGAGAAGAGTGGAACATATTCCTAAAAAAATGAAGATTAAAAAAGAAAGCTTATGGATCTCTCTCTTTTTTTTCCAGGCTAAGTTTCCAGGTGCCCCTGGGAATATACCTACTCACTTGCTTCCGTTAGAGGTAATTTCATGCACGAGTTGAAGAGGCACTAACTGAGCCAGTGGTTTCAAACCATTTCACCAAGCAAACCTTTTATTATTTTTATCCTATGGATTTTTTAATAGTTTAATAAAACACTCTCTCTTGAAAGATTTTCTTTATTGACTGCCAAATCAGCTGACTTAAAGTAATCATTTTTCTCCCTATTAATAATGACCTATATAACTGCCAATAGAAGCATCTGTTCAGCATTAGATAATCAAGCCTAACAAACTGAGTTAATGTTTTAAGGAAAAGCAGGTAACTATGATAATCATATTAGACTGTGTAGTTTTATCTTGAGTAATGATGTGTTTGTTAAGCTTTTTGACACCTTGGAAATTGTTTGGGGAATCTCGTTCCTATTTTTTCCACCCAGAATGAGAACGTTTACAACCCCCTTATTTTTAAAGATAAACTGATATCCAGGGAGGTGGGATGATGATCCAACTTAAAAACCTTTAACTCAGTGAACTTCCTCTAAACCCAAATGGAATGCAAATCAACCTATTCTTGATGTATTGCTATTTTCTAATTGCTATCTATTTGGCACAGGATTGGTGAGCTTATTTTGGTGGTTTGTTTGGATGTAGAAACTAGAAAGGTTAATGTCTATTCTATGATTAATTTTCCTGCCTGTCACTTCCCTTTTTCTTGGATCCATTCTCCTTTTACCTCTACCCTCTGGATCTTTTCCTCTTGAGTCCACAGCTCCTGTATCTGTTTTCGAGGTTTGGTCTTTTCACTCTTGCTGCAGCTGATCCCTTCTCCAGCCAAGCAACTATCCCTCTGTGCAGCCAGCCAGCACAATAGAGGGTCTGTGAGTGTGTGGTGAGCGGTTCGGCTGGGGCAAGACCACTTGGCGGCTCCTGAAATAGGCTCCATGCTATTGTGGTGTTTAATTATCAACAGCATTTCTACCACCCAGTGTTTCTGAGTGGGTATTTGTTCTAAGACCTGCCCAGCTAATTAACTACTGGGGTGGGAATGGGGGGAGGGGCAGGAACTTGGTGTTCAAAGAATACAATTACGGTTACTGTTTAAATCCTGAGATAAATAATAATCAGACCGAGTGGATTTTCTTCACCATCAGAATCTAACCTACTGATTGGCAACTACTTATTAGCCTTACATTTCTTAATTTTTTCTTTTCCCTTGCAATTGGTGAATTTGGGCCTAAATTGCTTAAAGCTTGAAAATTATAAAAGAGTAAAATGTAAACTAATTTTAATTTTTTATTGATACTTTCCGAGAACGATTCATTTGGCTTACTTCAAAAAATGCATTTGCCCATTACTCATGATACCCTATTTTGCGATGTAGTGATAACTTTTCTGTTGTCATTGGTATTTCCCTGGTTTTCACTGACGAGAAACACAGGCCGTAAGATAATCATTTAAACTCGGTGGTAGGAGGCTGTTTGCCACTAGCCTTAGGCGCCTCTTCCTATAGTACCCTTGGTTCCATATGAGTTTCTTCATGAGGGGAACTCATTGCTCACCAGTAATTGTACATGGAACACTCTCAAGTAGTACAGGTTTAAATGATTTTTATTAAACCCTTTGGTCTGTGTTATACTTAAGAGGCACACAAATATAAATCAAATACTTGTTTTTATAAAGTACTTTTGTGTTCTTCCAGCAAAAACTAAAAATCTCTTGCCCCAGATACAAATGTTCTGTTTTAGCTTCCATTCAAAAATACATTATATACTAAGTGGTGTCAATTTCAACCCTATCTGTAATTTCAAAGGAGAAAACAAGGTCACTTATGTATAAACCTTGCATTGTAAGCCAGTGTCCTCTGGGCAACCAAGAAGAACAGTTAATAAAATTTATCTTTGCTGATCATAAATGACAACCTTCTAACAACCTCACAAACCTTGACTTGTTTCCAGCTAGGAATGTCAAAAGAAGTAATATAGGGGTATTAATAATTAAATGTGTTTTAATTAAAAAACTCAAAACATAAGTTGCAATTTACTTGTCTTAATAAGATTCAGGGCTCAAAATTCACTTGGGTCTCAACCTGCTGTCT